TTCCTTCCCTACTACTTTATGTACCTTTTCCCTGCAATGAGTAATACTAACTGAGGAACTTGGAACATCATCATGGGACACAGCATTAAGCCGTATCCAGAGGCTCTCAGACAGTCAGTACCTGGACTATCTCTCTTTAAGCTCTATGCTTGTCTCCTACAATATGTATAATTAATGTACTTTTGCCGTGAGTTCATCTTAAATTTGAATTTCCACTAGTTTGTTCGTTTAAGGTAGAAATATGTATAACTCTGGCTGTATGAGAATTTTAGAAAACCTCAGGCTTATTATTTTAGAAGAAGAGACACTTTTTATACATAAGTGAACATGGAGTAGTCCTAGAGAATAATAAAACAGAAGATAGTTCTTAGTCATCTATTATTTAAATTTCCATTTTCACCTCCATGATTTCACAAGGGTGCACTGAGGCAGATTGCAAGGAAAACCAAGACATTGAGAGAGTATTGTCACAAATCATAAAGTAATACAATATAGAAAAAGAAATCCCCTGTACTAACATTTTTTAGTTGGTAGGTTGCGTAATACAGCTGCTGTATATTACATCATTGGCTAAAGACTCCATAACAGACAATACATTTAAATTATAGTCCACTGCATAAGATAAAAAAACACACTAGAATAAAGCAGAATGACCCAAATCTTCCTTCAAACGTGTGTTCAGACATAGATGACTATCATTATACATTTAGATAAGTAGTCTCCTTTTTGGGGAAGGTCATTTTATTTCTGTTATACATAATCTGGGCTAACAATAATCTTTACTTGGAAAGAACACTGCCAATATTAAGGTCAAACTCCAAAACCTTTTTCTTTTATAAGAGTTGGGAATACAACTTCTGATGAGTTTTGGATGTTGTCTATATCCTAAGGAGTTGTACCTCAGGTCCTGTTCTGTCTGACATCTGTCACACATATAAAAAGTGAAGAGAAATCTACCTAATACGGACACTGACAGCAATAATATCTTGTCAGAAGTTCTAAAATATTAATCAGTCTACTAGAAAATGTTCTTTTATTATTGTCCCTGTCACTTTCTATTCAACCTGACATCCATCAAATAGATAGTGGGGAAACTTTCTCTCATTTCCTGTTCTGTCTGGCATTAAAAAGAGTACAAAGAAATCTCTCAAACATGGACACAAAGAACAAAACCAAAAAACATGTTTTGGTTAGAGTAATGCCTCTTACACACGTTAAGAAAATCGTATGAAAAATTTTGTGGATCGAACAATTTTTTCTTCGTTGATGAGCAGGATGTTTTAACCGATAACGATATTGTGAACGAAAAAATCGGTTAAACAACAGTGAAAAATTTAGTTGTTTCTCATACGAACGACTGATTTTCTATGCGGTGGTATGACGGTCGTACGAAAAAAAATCTATCAAGCGCTATCACGCATGAGCGGAAACAGAAAATAACCCGGATGTTTATGCCCAAGGAATCTTCATAAACACAAACGAAAAATCCAAATGTTAAAAGTAGGGGTGGGCAACTGCGGCCCGCCAGCTGTTGGAGAACTACAAGTCCCATCATGCCTCTGCATTTGGGAGTCATGCTTGTAACTGTCAGTTTTGCAATGCATCATGGGACTTGTAGTTCTACAACAGCAGGAGGGCCACAGTTGCCCACCCCTGGATGCGATAATGAAACCAGAATTATGCATATTATATTTTTATGTATCACTATTTATGTATATAGGTAGTGTAATAAACTATATTATAATCATTGCTCTTAATTGTTGTGTATATCGCTCGTTCTGGCCGGTCACATGCACACTGCATCACTTCCACTTGTACGGAAGACGTCAACACTGTGTATTGCCCAACTAATGATTTTTTTTTAATTGGTTAATGTGGGCCAAGCTTTTGACCAACAAAAGAACGCCTCTCGGTCGTCGGATGACCGATCGGTCAATTTTCTAATCGTGTGTAACCAACTTTAGGCCTTAAGGCAACTCTGTCACCAAACTGAAACACTGAAAAGCTGCTACTGCAAATAAGCTGGAATATCTAAACCTAAATGTTTTTCTATTTCATTTTGGATGAAGTAGAGAAAGGATAGAATCATTTACTCATCTGTGTTTTATTAAGGAGATTTCCCTTCACTTCCTGTCCTTTAGATTCACTGTGAAAAATATTCCCTCTTAGATAAATGTCATGGGAAAAAAAGTGTCCCCAAAGAAAGATTTCTGGTTCTAGCTGAAAATTTTAGATTAATCCTCATTCTCAGTGCATTTCTTAACAGGACAGTTAGAGATAGTCAATCTCCCTAACAGGAATACAGACAGCAATAAAGATCTGATAGTGGTTTTAACTCCTAAACACTCTATCCAAATTTAAAAAAAAAAAAAAAAATTGCATTTAGCTATACTTTAGTTCAATCCAATTTAAAAAACATTGTAGAAAATATAAGAGCACATTTGACTACAAACATAGTTCAAGAAACAATTGGAGATGCATGAGTATTACAATGGGAATCAGAATTAGATGAAAACAGATAAAAAAGTTTTAATTACATCATTAATAATCTGAGCTTAGAAAACTAAGGAGCAGGAGTTGTTTATGAGAATATGGTGGTTGGTTACGTACAGGTAGGCCAAGGTTGGAGGGTTCACCCCACAGTGTGGGGAAAATAACTAACCCTTGGCATAAGATGGACTCAAGTGAAAGGGAGGCTAGGGTGGGGCCAAAAATGGGAAATGTTACTGCAGGAAAAAAAAATCAAGGAGTAGCCTAGAAGGTGCAGATAGCAGGAAGATGACAGTGTTTGAGTAACAACAGAAACCAGATGATTAAAAAAAAGGAGGGGAATGAAGGGAAGATAAGGGGAGACTTACATAGAGAATAGCTGGGCAGAATGTATCAAACTGGATCATATTAGTCTTGAATGAGGTCCTTGAATTCCTGAAATTCACCTTCCAAGAGGCCCATGTCTTTGTGTGATGTTCTTGGGTATCCACTTTATGTGCTAAAAGTGACTCCATGCATGAAATTTGATATACTTTGGTGACCCATTCCAGTAAGGTAGGAGCCTGTGTTGACGGCCAATGACTTGGAATAACCCACAGGTTTCAGTAAGAAAGTGTCTAAGGATGCCTCTTTTGACTTTCTTATTACAGTCAGAAATCAAAGAGAGAAATACCAGTAAAACACCAAAAAAAAAGGGTCTCAAACGGTGTCAAATTCATAGACAAGTGTTCTATTCTGAATTAAATGTAGGAATTAGTGTTGGGCTAGATGTTCGAGTCGAACACCATTCATGTGTTTGCCGAATGGTAAGGGTGTTTGGCGAGCTGTTCGACTGCTGAGCCCCATATTGCACTGTGCCCTGACACTGCATTGTGACTGGCCAAAGCAATGCACCTGACCACTTTGGCTAATCACAGCACATGATGACATCACAAGGGGGTGGGGGTGACCCCGTCTCCTTGTGATATCATCACAGTGTCAGAGGAACTGAAATTCTGAGAAGATCAAGGCAAAGAACAAAGGGCCCATCCTATTTAATGGTTCCTATGGGGGTAGTGCTACATACAGAAAAGGCCCTGCATATATTAAGGGTTACACAAGTCTTCAAAGAGAAAGGTAATGTCTGTCAACAAGGCACTTTTTCATTAGCAATATGATATCAGTTTACAGACCACAGAATGCCTGATGAATACTTCCTTTGAAAATATCCAGATTACCGGGTCATCATGAGATCCCCAAAGTCCTTGCAGTTCATCTACAGTAGCTGAAGATGGGAAATCAGCCATAAGGTTCAATTGGCATAAACAATTACTTGTTCAACTCAATCTTGCTTCTTAGCAACTACCTGGTTTACTACCCAAGTCCTTAAAAAATAAGTCCACCTTTTGGTCAAAAATAATAAATGCACATATTTTTGCAGGTAAAAAATGTGCATTTATTATTTTTGTCCAAAGCTGCCTGGAAAGCATTGCACCAGCGATCAGTAGATCGCTGACGTCATACAGGTCTCCTGCAGACCTGTCAGAATATCTGCTTGCCGTACGGGATGTACGGTGAAGCAGATATTCTGACAGGAAGCTTCGATGAACAACCACGGCGCTCCACAGCACCGTGGTAGTTAATTGAAAACTACAAGCCCACAGCCACTAAGGCTGCCAGGATTTGCAGTTCATTCATTCACAAAAGTCCGTAAATTAATGACGTTGCCGTGTGGGTGGAGCCCCGCACGGTTACTTTGTTTTCAAATCTGACAGATAGTACGGGGAAACTTCTCCCCGTACTATCTGTCGGGGGAGGGGGGTCAGGCGCAGCTGCAGCAATGGGAACATGCTGCAGCCATTGGTGTAGACACGGAAAGGTTTGGTGTAATCACTATACTCCAGAAGTGCAGTAGTTAGTTGTTCCCTGAGTGTCTCAAAAGCCTTGCAAATGTCTTGTGATATGGTCATCTACAGCATCAACACTTCCAATCTGTGTAATGATACCTGACAGGGCCTAACCCAGCTCTCATTTGACAGCAGATACCTGCAGGACAGAAGCAATTGTCTTTGTCAAATCTCTAATGGCACAATTCAAAGTGGATATAGGAGAGGAAGCAGCTGGTTGTCCAGTGGCCTTACATCTCCATTTGTAACCACCATTTCCTCCTATTCTTGTTCTACTGATTCTTGAAGCATTAAAACAGTATTAAACCCCAAACCAAAGCTGCAATATAATAACTGTATGAGTTTAATACTGCTTTAAGCATTACCATTTCATCAGCTTTCACATGGTCTTTTAGAGTCCTTTTCATGAGACCAACTCAGATCCCTGAGATAAACTGATCCCGCATCACTTGATCAGAAGTGCCAATAGTAGCACATACCTGTATATAACTATATTCCCTTTGCACACATTCCTGAAAGTGTGGATCATCAATGGTGGGTGCCAGGGGCGGACTGACAACTCATGGGGCCCCTGGGCAATAGGGGATCATGGGGCCCCTGTGTCCTTGCCCAAACTCAAAAAAGCCTATGAAAACCGGGGCATCTTGGGGTGGGTGCTGTAGTCCAAATGGTCAGTACCAGCTTGGTGGGACTAGGAAACATCATAGGCAAACATGCATATTCGCCAGCACACCAAGGCTCTCAATAAGGTCCAAAAAGGTTTTTATTCCAAAAAAGATTGCATCACAAAGAAAAGTGCAATGTTTCAGAGGCACACAGGCATGTGATCATCGAGAGAGAGAGAGAGTTATGCTCAAAAGTTTGCAAACCCTTGGAGAACTGGTAATATGCCTCCCGCCCGCCATATAGTAATATGACGAACTCAAGGTGGTTCTTTTGTTCTGGGAGGACGTCATATGACATCCTCCCATTTTCAGTGCGCATCGTGGAGCGTGGCGATCGGCGGTGTGCTGTGTCCCTCGGCCACAGCGGATCACTGATCCACGGAAAGAGCCGAAGATGTCGGCTCGGTCATGTGATCAGCCGTGTTCAATCACAGATGATAACATGTAAACAGGGAAATGCCGTTTATTGGCATTTCTCTCCCCACGAGCTGTCAGGCTGACAGCTCGTGAGGAGAGGAGAACTGGTAATCAGCATTCCTCGGAGGGGACATGTACACAGATCATCAGGGCACTGATGATCAGTGTGCCCTAATGATCTGTGTAGCCCCAGCAGCACCACCTGTCAGTGTCCATCAGTGCCAGCTCTCAGTGCTCATCCATGCCACCTGCCAGTGCCCATCAGTGCCACATTTCAGTGCCCATCAGTGCCAACTCAATGCCACATATCAGTGCCCATCTGAGCTGACTTTCAGTGTTACCCATCAGTGCAAGTCAGAGCCACTTATCAATGCCAGTCAGTGCCACCTATCAGTGCTGCCAATCAGTGCCGCCTATCAGTGCCAGCCAGTGCCACCTATCAGTGTGCATCTGTGCCACGTATCAGTGCCCGTCAGTGCTGCCTATCAGTGCCGCCTAACAGTGCCATTCAGTGCCACCTAACAGTGCCAGTCAGTGCCGCCTATCAGGGCCAGTCAGTGCCGCATGTCAGTGCCGCCTATCAGTGCCATATATGAGTGCTGCCTTTCAGTGCCCATCAGTGATGCATGTCAATGCCCATCAGTGCCACCTACCAGTGCCTCCTCATCAGTGCCCATCAGTGCCACCTATCAGTGTCCATCAGTGCAGCCTATCAGTGCCCATCACTGCAGCCTCATTAGCACAGATCAGTGAAGGGAGAAAAATCACTTATTTACAAAATTTTATAACAAAAACTAAGAAAAAAACGTTTTTTTTCTAAATTTGCAGTGGTTTTTGGTTTGTTTAAGAAAAAATAAAAAAACCCACAGGTGATTAAATACCACCAAAATAAAGCTCTATCTGTCACAAAAAAATGATAAAAATTTCATATGGGTACAGTGTTGCATGACCGCGCAATTGTCATTCAAAGTGCAACAGTGCTGAAAGCTGGAAATTGGCCTGGGCAGGAAGAGGATATAAGTGCCCTGTAGGCTAGTGGTTAAAGAAAACATGAGTAAGTAGGCAAAACGCATTTCTTTTATTTCTTATGGGATTCATATTCAACTGTAGATCATAACAGAATGGCGCAATCATAGGAAAAAAAAACATGGCAATAAGTGAACAAATAAAATGACCCCTGTTCAAAAAGTCTGCATACCCCCAGTTCCTAATACTGTGTGTTGCTGCATTTACCATCAATTACAGTGTACAGTGTTTTGTAACAGTTGTGTAGCGCCCTCTAGTGTGCTACTAGAATAATATAGCGTATATCAGCTAAAATCATTGGGTATGACTTATGGAAACTGTGTAAGGCTCAGTTCACACTTGCTTTGTAAGCAGGCATTTTGCAGGTGTTTGAGGGGCATTTTAGCGCTCCTCAAATGCCTATGAAAATTATACACATGGCAGCACACAGTGCTGTTCACACTGAAGCGCTAGCGTCGCGTCCCGGCAAAATTGATGCCTCACGTTGAGTCAGGAGGAGTTGAAGCCTTTCAATGCCTCCCATTCAAGTCTATAATGATGCTCCTCAAATGCCTGGCAGGCATTTGTGGGGCGTTTGCAAGGCGTTTGCGGGGCGTTAATACCATTAACTTCATTATAGGCATTTGTGGTGCAGTTTTAATGTTTGGAAAACGCCTATGAAATGCCTCAAAAAGGCGCATAGGGCGTTTGGGAAGCATTTGAGGAGCGTTAAAAATGCTCTCCAAATGCCTGTCTAATGCCTGTCAAATGCTATTGGGGTGTTTGGGAAGAAGTCAAGTGTGCACAAGCCCTAAGTCTGTAATTGAGATTGGGTTATTACAGGTCAGATGGATGACTTGACAGGTTGTGGCTCCATTGCCTCTTCCTGACTCTGGGGGACCATAGAACCTTCCAGATGTCGGTAAGCAGGAGGTGGTGGAGACCTTATAGGCATGTTTATGGGAGTGTGGCCAATCCCAGATTTGGAGGCCCTGGTAGAGTGGTGGACTGGCCCATAAATATAGGCGAGTCAGGTAAGGAGGAGACTGTTGGTGCCTGGGAGGGATCTCCTAGGTCTGATGGGGGGGGGGGGGGGTAGCCTAAGTAGCAGAGGGGGTTGTTAATTAGTTTCAGCTGCTTTGATGTTAATGAAATTTACAACAGGTGCACTAGATGAGCAACAATGAGAAAAACACCCCAAAACAAGAATGGTTTTACAGGTGGAGGCCACCAACATTTTTTTCCCTACTCATCTTTTATGACTATTTTTCACTAGTTTTGCATTTGGCTATGGTCAGTGTCACTACTGGTAGCATGAGGCGATACTTGGACCCTACAGGGGTTGCACAGGCAGTCCAACACCTCCAACATGGCACATCAATACGTGCCATTGCCACAAGGTTTGCTGTGTCTCCCAGCACAGTCTCAAGAGCATGAAGGAGATTCCAGGAGACAGGCAGGTACTCTAGGAGAGCTGGACAGGGCTATAGAAGGTCCTTAACCCATCAGCAGGACCGGTATCTTCTCCTTTGTGCAAGGAGGAACAGGATGAGCACTGCCAGAGCTCTACAAAATGACCTCCAGCAGACCACTGGTGTGAATGTCTCTGACCAAATAATCAGAAACGGACTTCATGAGGGTGTCCTGAGGGCCCGACTTCCTCTAGTGGGCCCTGTGCTCAAAGCCCGACACCACAGAGCTCAATTGACATTTGCCATTGAACACCAGAATTGTCAGGTCCACCACTGGCATCCTGTGCTTTTCACAGATGAGAGCAGGCTCAGCCTGAGCACATATGACAGACATGAAAGGGTCTGGAGAAGCCGTGGAGAACATTATGCTGCCTGTAACATCATTCAGCATGACCATTTCGGTTGTGGGTCAGTGATGGTCTGGGGAAGCATATCCATGGAGGGACGCACAGACCTCTACAGGCTAGACAATGGCACCCTGAGTGCCATTAGGTATCGGGATGAAATCCGTGGACCCATTGTCAGACCGTACACTGGTGCAGTGGGTCCTGGGTTCCTCCTGGTGCACAACAATGCCTGGTCTCATGTGGGGAGAGTATGCAAGCAGTTCCTGGAGGATGAAGGAATTGATACCATTGAATGGCACCCACGCTCACCTGACCTAAATCCAATAGAGCACCTCTGGGGTATCATGTTTCGGTCCATCCGATGCTGCCAGGTTCCACGTCAGACTGTCCTGGAGCTCAGTGATGCCCTGGTCCAGATCTGGGAGGAAATACCTCAGGACACCATCTGTAATCCCATTAGGAGCGTACTCCGATGTTCGCAGGTATGCATACAAACACATGGGGGCCATACGAACTACTGAGTACTATTTTCAGTTGCTGCAATGAAATTTCAGTAAACTAGACTAGCCTGCAGCATCATTTTTTCACTTTGATTTTCAGTGTGTCTTTGATTTCAGTCCTCTGTAGGTTGATAATTTTCATTTACATCAAACAATGGGGCATCCTTAAGTTCCTAACACATTACCCAGCCCATATCAGTATTTATTTATTTATTACAGGTACTTATATAGTGCCATCAATTTACACAGAACTTTACATATATATTATACAATCACATCAGTCCCTAACCCTCAATGGGCATACAATCTAAGGTCACTAACTTACACATACTAGGGCCAATTTAGACAGGAGCCAATTAACCTACCAGCATGTCTTTGGCGTCTGGGAGGGAACTAGAATACCCTGAGGAAACCCACGCAGGCACAGGGAGAACATGCAAACTCCAGGCAGGTGGTGCCATGGTTGGGATTCGAAGCAACAACCCTACTACTGCCAGGTGGAAGTGTTAACCATTTAGCCACAATGCTACCCCAGTATAGATATCCATATACTTTTCTCCATTGAGATCTGATGTGTTTTCAAAGTGTTGATTTAAGTTTTTTGAGCAGTATATATATATATATATATATATATATATATATATACAGTCAGGTTCATAAATATTGGGACATCAACACAATTCTAACATTTTTGGCTCTATACACCACCACAATGGATTTGAAATGAAACTAACAAGATGTGCTTTAACTGCAGACTGTCAGCTTTAATTTGAAGGTATTTTACATCCAAAACTAGGTGAACGGTGTACCAATGTTTTCTGATGATATTCTAAACTCCCCTATATTGACAACTAAATTTAGAGGTAAAGGCATATTCCACTAAACTCTTCCCCTCCTTTCCCATCACTCTCTTCCTATTATTACTATGGAATATGCCTGGAATATCAGAAAACATTGGTCGATCTTACATAAAGATAGTATTCTAGCTAAGATTCTACCGGAGAGGCCCCCCTTTATATATAGAAAAAGTGAGAATCTGAGGAGCTTATTAGTAAAGGGTATCATCTCTCCCCCTAAAAAATCACGGATGTTTGGATTAACTGTTTTTTTTCCCTGTAGGAAGTGTAGGATATGCAAAACCACTGGGATTAAAGTTAAAAAGATCTCTACGTTCCAATCTAGAGTTACGGGTGAAGCGTTTACGATTAAAAAGTTCATCACATGTAATATGAAATATGTAACGTATTTGTTGGAATGCCCCTGTAAAATCCAATACGTGGGTAGAACTAAAAGAGATCTGAAGATTCGACTTAAAGAACATGTGGAGAATATAGAAAAAGGGAAAAAGGAACACAGTGTCTCAAAGCATTTCCGTGATGTTCATAATTCAGATCCTAGTGTTCTTAGTTTTTGTGGCATTGATGTCCTTGATGCGCATTGGAGGGGATGTAATTAAGTACAGGAGATATCGTGTAATGAAAGCTTTTGGATCTTTAGACTTAACACCTTGAAACCTAGAGGTTTGAATATTGAACTGGATTTAAATAGTTTTATTTCTGATTTGTAATTTTTTTTTTCTGTGGTATTTTAATGGTATTTTACATATTTTTGTTATATTTTTATATAGTTTTTAATATTAGTAATTTTTTGGGTAATGTTTAAATATTATTATCGATATATTTGTAACCAGTGGTGAAGGGGTGGTGTCACCTCCATCCATATGGTATATAGAGCCGCCTTTCCAATTTCCAAAATGGCTGCCGGTGGTATGGCTATCCCTTGTCTCAAAGGGTGGTTTAAGGGTGGTTTATATAATGGTGATAGGTTTGGGGAAGTAATGTTCCCCTGTTTATACCATCTAGTACTGTAAATTAGTAAGGGAAGTGATATACTCATATTTCCACTTTGTAATATGGCCGCTGTGAGCTTTCTGCCCGGTTAGTAGTGGGTACATAAGGAGCTGGAACCATATGTCCGTATCCTTGTTGACAAAGTCCGGAAGTGACGAAACGCGTCCAGGGCACGTGACGTATTGACGTTCCCGGAAGTGCCGCGGTGGCCATTTTGGATTCTGGAGAGCGGGTGTCTGGCGTTCCTGGGACTCGCGGTGCACTCCTGGTGCAACCCCAGAGCTGGAGTGAGAGTGGCGGGCAGGAGTGTGACGGGGTGACTCCCTGGAGAATATTTTTGAGATCACAATGGTGGTACTCATTTGTCGCTAGGAGCAGGAAGCCGGTTTTATCAGATTTTAATGTAAGTGGCTACAATAAAATTTATATATCAATTTTTCATATACTGATTCCTGGTCTGTTTGTGAGGTCCAAAGGAACAAGAGGAATGCCAGCTTGGGGATTTTCCATGCACACTGGTTGATCACATGCTGAGATAATTTTGAGTTAGGGTAATTATGAATTTTTTATATGGTTTGCAGTGATATCTATTGAGTATTCTTTTCACGAATGCTGTGACACTATAGTGTTTTGCATGCTGCACGTGTGGCAAATACTTGTGATACCTAAGATAATACACTATG